TATATATATATATATATATATATATATATAATATAAGTTATAATAATTTACAATTAGTCACCATTTTATATCAAAAAAATATTTTATTAGATTATTTAATAAAAAAAATAATCCTATTTATTAAGTAATCATAATAAACAACAATAATATTATTAGAAATAAATACAAAATAAATAGTTTTAAAAAATATATATATAATAATAATAATTTAGTATTAAATAAAACTAAAATTGTGTTATTTTTAGTAATAATAATAATAAAATAATATATAATATAAAAGAAATTAACTTTTATTATATTAGTTTTATTTAAGCTATTTATATAAAATTTTTTGACAATAATTTTTATTAAAATAAAATATTAGTGCCAAAATAATTTAATATAATAATAAAAATATATTTTATTTATTTATTTATTTATTTACTAAAATAAACTGCTTTATTTTAGTTAATGTTTCAAATATATATATATATATATATATAATATTTTTTTTAATATATAATATAAATTTATATTAAAAACATTGCGGGATATCTTATAATACACAACAACAACAAAACTGTTGAAATATATTATAAAAATCATTTATAAATATTTTGACCATTTGTTTTGTTTGTTTGTTTTTTATTTAATATTAATTTATATTTATGACAAAAACATTTTGTTGGGTTGAAACAAAAAAAATGTTTTAAAATATTTATAAAAATTAAATATTTAATAATATTAAGTTTATAAAAATAAATTATTGAATACTAAATAATACTAATAAATTATATTTGTTTTTTTAATAAATGCTATTACAATCAATTCAATTGTTTAAATTTATTATTATTATTAAAATTATATTTTTATAAACAATAAATTTATTTAAAATTTTTAAAAAAAATAATTCAATTTAATCAATCTATACTTAAATTTATTTTTTTGTTATTTATTTTTGTGATATATTATTAATTTAATAATTTTTAAGTATCACTACTAGTCTATTGATTATTATTATTATTATTATTATTATTATTATGTTTTTGTTGTTAGTGTTAGTAATGTTTTGAACACCTAAAACAAAATAATATATATTATATTATATATATATATATATATATATATGATATATATGTTAAAAATAACACTTATTTTTTCAAATCATATATTTTTTGTTGAAAATACTTAGTAATGGTATACAAAATACTGTTTAGTATTGTTGTTATAAAAGTTATATATATATATATATATATATAGTATAATATATAAAACTAAAAATTATTTAATAGTATCATTAAATTTTTTATTTTATATCATTAAATATAGCGTACAAATCCACTATTATTATTATTATTGTTTTTTAATGTTATAAAAAAGATTTATATATATATAAACGTATTTTAAAAGTTTTACAAAAATAAAAGTTTTTTAAACTAATAGCTAATACTTTTAGGGTATATATATATACTGTAAATATATCACATAATATACTGTATAGTAATTAATTTTTTTTCTTCAATATATTCTCTATATATTACTAATCATTATATAAGTATATCTATTATATAATACAATACAATACAATAAAAAATTGTTAATTCATTCATTTAGTTGTCTCTCTCTCTATAATATATTATTAGTTAAGTTATTATTCAATGTCTCTCTCTCTCTCTCTCTCTCTCTCTCTCTCTCTCTCTCTCTCGGAAATCACTCGACATTTAAAAAGTGAAAATTTATTATTGAATTTTATTACTACTAATAAAAAATATCATTTATCATTGAAAACAAAAAAAAAATTATATCAATTTTTTTTGTAGAAAATAAAAACTATTACAATATATTTAATATTTTTTATTAGCAAAAAAAAATGTTATGATTTTTTTTTGTAATAAATCAAAAACAAAAAAAAACAAAATCAGTCAGCAATAAACAACAATAATAATTAATAATAATAATAATAATCAGAGAGAGAGAGAGAGAGAGAGAGACATTGAATAATAACTTAACTAATAATATATTATATCTAATATACAGTATAACCCTAAGTGAAAGTTACAACAACAACAACAATAATAATAATAATATTAATAATTGCCACCAAAAATAAAATGTTAGTCAATCATAATAGAGATTAATTGTTAGTAATCTCTTATATATATATATATATATACTGTATATTGAATGACAATACAATCATTTTTCTCCCAGTTGTGTGTCTACTACTAACTTATAGTATAGTAGTATTGTATATATATATATATATATATATAACTAGTATTTGATGTTTTATATGATGTAATGACACAAACAGTGATTTTATTTATTTTTTTATATATGTGTGCTATTATACAGTACTGTACACCAAGTGATTCATGTTTTGTGTGGTTTATAAACAACAAACATATATATATATATAACAATACATGACTCTCTAACACAGGGACTATATGTATACAACTGTCCAAACTTTTTTTTATGTGTGTATATATTGTAGTTTAGTTTAATATCTGAGACAAATATATATATATATACAGTATATATCAGTGTTTAGATGGACACAAACATAAATCTATTTATTATTATATATATAATAATAATTTGTTATATTCAATATATTCAGTGATAAATACAGTATAATAGCATACATTTACCCCTCCCGTCCCCCCCCCCGAAAAAAATGGGAACAAATTTTTCTTAGTGTCCGTCAATTTATAATATAGTTTTTATGTTTGTTTGTTTGTTTGTTTGTTTGGTTAGTTAGTTAGTTGTGTTTCTACTACTATATCCACCACAAAAAAATGAAAGATTGACATTAATAGTAATAAATATCAGTTTTATTATATATATATATATATTATATTATATATATACAGTATATAACTATTTTATTTATTTATTTATTTTGTTGTTGAATTGGTAAATATATGTCAAATGCAATCTCTGGGTACAGTTTGTTGTGTGTGTGTGTGTGTATGTGTGTGTGTGTGTGTGTGTGTGTGTTTGTATGTATGTGTTTGTGTGTTTGTGTTTGTGTGTGTATGTGTATGAATGTATGTATGTGTGTGTGTTTGTATGTATGTATGTGTTTGTGTGTATGTATGTGTATGAATGTATGTATGTGTGTGTGTGTTTGTATGTATGTGTATGTATGTATGTGTGTATGTATGTATGTGTGTATGTGTGTGTGTGTGTGTGTGTGTGTGTGTGTGTATGTGCTGTCTCTCAATAAACCTAACCATACCATCACTACATCAATATATATATATTGGACTTCAGTTTGCTATATACGGTATATAACTAACTATTGGCCCCAATAGAGGCTCACAACGCCTGCTTACAGTCAGACTCTCCTCATTGAGAGAGAGAGAGAGAGAGAGAGAGAGAGAGAGAGAGAGAGAGAGAGCACAGTTATGTTGGGGTCGATGCTTAAGCCTAACTCACTAACACAACTATAAACGATACATACATGCAATTCAATAGCTATGTGTGTGTATGTGTATGTGTGCACTGGTAGTGCACAGTCATAGAGTTAGAGCACATTTACCTATCAGTTAGTGTTTGACACACAGTTTAACAATACCAGTGCTTAAAAAAATAAGGTATCAGAGCTTAGATACTTTTTTTGAATAAAATAAACTAACTGTGCTATCAATGTACTGTCACACTGTGTGATGTCAACAATGTTTTTTTTGTGTGACTATACCTGTGCTTAAACTAACTGTGCTTTTTGTTGTTAAATAAAAAGTGATTTTTAATAAATCTCTTAATTTTGTTGTTATTTTTTGTTATATATATATCAATATAATTAACATTTGATTTTTCAATCAATTTTTTGTGTATAAATGTATTCAATAGTTTAATACAATTTTTTTAAAATTTTTTTTAAATGTTATTAATATTATTAAATATTTGAAATATTTTTTTTGTTGTTGATATGTAACTGTAATAATAATAATAATAATACTTATTATTATTATTTTTATATATAAAAATATAAAATACATTGAATTGATTTTTTTTAATATAAAAAATAATATTTATATTAAAGACCTACTAAAACCAACAAAAAAATAAAAATGTTTACAACAAATAAAAAATACTTTTTAACAACAAAATAAAAGTTTTATTTTTTAAAAAAAACTAAATATCAGTTTAAATATATATATATATATTGTATATAATAATAATGTTTTTTTATTATTTGATTTTACAATACATATACAAACGTTTTTTATTTGTATTTTAAGGTAATACCATGTAATGCATTAAAAATATATATAAAAAAGATTTGTTTTTTATTTGTATCCAAAATAATAATAATAATAATAATAATAATAATAATAATAATAATAATAATAATAATAATAATAATAATAATAATAATAATAATAAATAAAACAAAATAAAAATGTTGTGTCAAATGTGTGTTAATATAGAGAAAACTTATATACAATATAAACAGTAATAATACATATAATAATACATATAAATAGCAACAAAAATAGAGACATAAATTTTGTGTCAATTTTTTTGTATCCAATATACTGTATATATATATATATATTTGTCATATAATTTGATATTTATTTTTTTTTGGGATATATATATATATATTGTGAATATAAATATGTAATTACATATATGGGAATAAAATAACAAATAAAATAAAAATGTTGTCTCATATAATAAAGTTTTCAGCTCCCAGTGCTTGGTATAAACATCTATTAATACTACTACTATCTAGTAGACGACTACCAGTGCTATTACTACTACTACTACTAATAGTATTATTATTGCTATTTTACTACTAGTAGTAGTAATAATAATAATAGTTTATAATTCATTCATACATTCAATTGATTCAAACATACTGTATATATATAATATGGAAATCAATGGGATATTTGGCACAACAATCAATATAATCAATGCCCGAAACTATTATCAAAATAGTTGTCAGTTATCGGCGCACAACAACAACTACAACAATAATAAAACATTTACAACAACTACCAGTGTTTTCATACAATTATTACTAATACGACTACTAATAATACACTATAATATCACTTCAGTGGATAGCATGTGGATAATAGGTATGTGCCTAACCCTAACCCCCTCTCAATAACTACTACTAACCAAATCTGACAAACAAACAAACATAATAATAATAATAATTATGATATTGTGTGTGTATGTGTGTATGTATGTGTGTATGTTTTTATGTGTATGTGTTTGTGTATGTGTGTGTGTGTGTGTGTATGTGTGTGTATGTGTGTGTATGTATGTGTATGTATGTGTATGTATGTGTATGTATGTGTATGTATGTGTATGTATGTGTATGTATGTGTATGTATGTGTATGTATGTGTATGTATGTGTATGTATGTGTATGTATGTGTATGTATGTGTATGTATGTGTATGTATGTGTATGTATGTGTATGTATGTGTATGTATGTGTATGTATGTGTATGTATGTGTATGTATGTGTATGTATGTGTATGTATGTGTATGTATGTGTATGTATGTGTATGTATGTGTATGTATGTGTATGTATGTGTATGTATGTGTATGTATGTGTATGTATGTGTATGTATGTGTATGTATGTGTATGTATGTGTATGTATGTGTATGTATGTGTATGTATGTGTATGTATGTGTATGTATGTGTATGTATGTGTATGTATGTGTATGTATGTGTATGTATGTGTATGTATGTGTATGTATGTGTATGTGTGTGTATGTGTGTATCTACAGTAAATAAATAAATTGATGATAAAAAATATATATAAAAAAACTATCTTTAATTTATTTGAACCCCCAATAATAGATAACATTCCTCCCCTCCCTTCCCACTCCCCAAACAAACTAAAAAAAAATTACTAAACCATTGCCATATACTGTAGTATTGGTCGTGTTTTATCTCAAATTTACTTATTATTATTGTTATTATTATTATATTTAAGTAAAAAAACATATTATATATATATTGTGTGGTAAATCTCTCTTTTATTTCACCATTAATATCATCATATAATTTGAAGACAAACAATATATACAGTATATAACAATAAGATTATAGTATAGTTATTATATTATAGCAATAATAATAACTTAAAATTTTTTTTTATCAATAATTACCAGATTTTTTGGGGATAAAATAATAAACATTTTGTTTTGTTTTTGGTTGCATTAAAAAAGATAATATATTTTATTTTCATTGTAATTATTTTGATTTTGATTTGTTTTATTATACAGTATTATATTATATATATATATATATATATATATAATGTATATTATAAATAGATATATAAAATTTCATAAACTTTCTCCTATTTTTTTGTTGTTGAAAATTAATCTCTTTAATTTTTATAATTATTATTATTATTTGAGCTCACAATATATATATATATATATATATAAAACAATATGTGATATGATGTGATGTTTTATTTTTCTCAACTAAAATAAAACAACAAAAAAACAAAACTTATAATTAGATTAAAGAATATTGTTTTTAGTGAAACACACACACAATGACTGACTTTTTGTGTTATAATCTTATAGTGTAAATAATCCTAATTGGGGATAGCCTTAATAGGGGACGGCATACTTTAAATTAGTTTTAATCACAAAATAATTAAACAATTGTTGACATTTATATGTCATTACAAACCTAAGGATATACTTTATCAGACAAGTGAATCAAAATAGTTATAATTTTATCACAAAATCAACAATTAATTGACAACAAAGATAACATAAAATATTACCATTTCATCCCTTATTTAACATTAAGTTTGAAATTAAATTAAACAATATTTAGTATAATTAAATTATAACTATTATTTTTTATACATAAATAATATATTAGTAAAAATATTAATAACAAAAATAATCACTTTTATTAATCTATGTATTAATTATTTAATTAAAAATCAATAATTAGCCGATAATCTCAATTAGGGACATGTAATTCAAAATAATTTTTATCAACAAATGAGTGTCAATAACGTCATCAAATTATAGTTTTATTTATTAATATAATTTTTACACACAAAAAATAATAGTAAATTTTGAATGTATAATTAAAATGAAAAAATTTTAAAATACAAATTATCAATAAGTTACACTGAAAAAAAAATTTATAAATTATATTTAATGTTAAATAATCCGTAAAAATTATAAATAGGTATAAATATGACATTATATATTTAAGATTAGCCTATTGGGTTGGTAGAGCTATTTAAGGAATAAAAATCATCAACCTATTGGGTTGGTAGAGCTATTTAAGGAATAAAAATCATCAACCTATTGGGTTGGTAGAGCTATTTAAGGAATAAAAATCATCAACCTATTAGGTTGGTAGAGCTATTTAAGGAATTTATAATTATGAATAGTGATTTATCCCAATACTGTAGTATAACAAATGAATACAACACATCCAATTGTATTTAACAAATCAGTGCATTTATCTTAGTGATTTTAATTCCTTAAATAGTTCTACCAACCCAATAGGTTAGTGATTTTAATTCCTTAAATAGCTCTACCAACCCAATAGGTTAGTGATTTTAATTCCTTAAATAGCTCTACTAACCCAATAGGTTAGTGATTTTAATTCCTTAAATAGCTCTACCAACCCAATAGGTTGGTGATTTTAATTCCTTAAATAGCTCTACCAACCCAATAGGTTAGTGATTTTAATTCCTTAAATAGCTCTACCAACACAATAGGTTGGTGATTTTTAATTCCTTAAATAGCTCTACCAACCCAATAGGTTGGTGATTTTTAATTCCTTAAATAGCTCTACCAACCCAATAGGTTAGTGATTTTAATTCCTTAAATAGCTCTACCAACCCAATAGGTTAGTGATTTTAATTCCTTAAATAGCTCTACTAACCCAATAGGTTAGTGATTTTAATTCCTTAAATAGCTCTACCAACCCAATAGGTTGGTGATTTTTAATTCCTTAAAGAGCTCTACCAACCATTATATTGAATTATTTGATTATTATTTTTTTGTTTTTGTGATTTTGAACATTTTAAATGATTATAAATAAAGTTATATTTAAATAAATTATTTATAATTTTTTAAACTTATAAATATGTTGTACTGTATTTTTGTAACTATAATTGTTGGAATCGGTAATATTATATCTATAATATTTACAAAAATTTAAAATGAACATTTTATTATTTCTGAGTAGATAGAATATAAAAATAAATGAAAATAATTTTTGTATTTAATTTTGTGTGTGTAGTATATAATTAATTTATTTATTAATTTTGTAGACATTATTTATTGTCAGATCTCGTATCCTAACAATTGCTTAACTTTTTATAATTTTTTTTGGCGTCCCTTATTGAGACCATTTCCCCTATATAAAATATACACTATATATATATTTATAGTATATATATATATATACTGTATATATATATAATATTTTTGCTTTTTTTTATTTTTAGCCATCTATTTTGATAGCATAGTGTAATCAATTTTTATATGTATAAGAGAGAGAGAGAGAGAGAGAGAGAGAGAGAGAGAGAGAGAGAGAGAGTAAAACAAAAACAAAAAAACTAAATAAAAGGCTAAACCAATAACACATAAGAAAAATATTATATATTATTTTGTTTTCTTTATTATTTATAAACGCTTTATTGTATTATATACTATGTGTTTGCATTGTTTTACTATTGTATTGATATATATAAATATATATATTATTTTTGTTGTTGAAATTCATGGCAAATATTTGATATTAAATCACATAAATTTACTTACAATTTTGACATTTATTATATAAATATATATATATTTATATATATATAATATTTAATTAACTTTTCATTTATCCGCTGATATTTTCACTAATATATTGTAAATATATGTTTGAAAAAAGCGTTAACTATAAGACAAACACAAAAAATACTTTATATATATATATATATATATTAAACGGGTTTAATATTATAAATATTTAAAGTAAACTAAAAAAATTATTATTATTATTATTATCATAAATAAGATTGAATTTTTTTAAGCGAAAAATATTTGTTTAAAAAAAATTATACAAAAGTAATGTACAGTATATTTATATACAGTATAAATATATATATATATATAAAGTCTATGCACTTAATATACACTATAAATATTTATATTTGTATTAAAAAAACTATTTGTTTAAATTTATTGCCAAAGAGAGAGTGTATTACAAATAAGTTAAAAAAAAATTTTATTTCAAGACTGCAATTGGTTTGATATGATTGTAGTGTCAATAATAAAATAAAATAAATAAATAAATTATTAGTATTATTATTATAATATATATTATTAACAATTGATTTCAAATTTTGTATTCATAATAATAATAATAATAATATAATTTTTATGATATATAAGTTGTTTACATACTATTGATATATCCCATTGAATTTTGAGTGAAAAAAAAATATTTATTTATTTTTATTTTTTAATAAAAACGATTTACATTAATACTATTACTACTAATAAGTATTATATACACAAAATATTAGTATAATATTATTATGATTTCAAATTTAAAAAAAACTAGATTTTTTCTATGTGTTTGAAATTATATTTATATTATTATTATATTTTTTAATACAATTTTATTACTACTACTACTACTAATTTATTGTACAATAAAACCTATTGTTTTATACAATCAGTAATTGTCCTAATTGTCAATATAATAATTATTTATTACTATAGTATATAATTATATAACTTATTATAATACAAAAAAAAATTAATTAATTTTTTTATATTATTAATAGTCTTAATTTTATTATATGACTATTTTTGTTATAGTAATAATAATTAATATGATATCACTATTTTATTAATGTATTTTTTTGATATTATAATATTAATTATTTAAGTATAAAAAATCTTATTTACTATTATTTGATTTTTTTTTTTAAAAAAGTATTTAAATAAAATATGCAAATAATAATAATATGTTTTTTTCAATGCATAAAAAATAAATGATAAGTATTTTATTTTATTTTTTAGATTTTTTTAAAAACTATAATAAAAACTAATCTCATGTACATAATTTGAAAAA